CTCTCACGCCCCGTTCACCCAGGCCCCGCCGCCTGGGGTTTCGGTGTGCTGCCCCTCGGCCCATCCAGCCCCGGGCTGAGGAGCCCCGGCCCGCTTGGCCTCTTCTTTCATGGAAGTGGGGCAGTAGGGATGCTAGGTGTGGGGTTAACTGGGTTTGGCTGGGTCACGGTGCTTGTCACCTGCCTGGTGAGGTGTGGGCTGGAAGACGTGGAGGTGGTTGGAAAGGAAAGGGCAGCGGATGAGGCTGGAGGTGATGGAGGATGGAGCCCAGTGGGGCTTTAAACCCAAATCTTCCCCTTCCAGCTGCTCCTTGACCAGCAGCTCCTCCTTTCCCCTGGGATTTTCTCACAACCATGCCCCCTCTCTGCATTGTTTCAGGTGGGAGCAGGTGGTGGATCTGACGTACTCCCTGCGCCTCGGAGCGAAGCCCAAGCCCATGGAGCAGGATGAGGCCGCAGTAGAGAAGCTTCGGTATGAGCTGTTTCCCAGCTTCTGCTGTGGTTGGGTGCAAGCTGCTGCCTGTCCCTGGGTGCTCAGACAGCCACCTCCTACAGAGCAGGGGGAGAGGGGGGAAGACAGGCAGAGGAGAACAGCTCTGCTCGCACAGTCTTATTCTAGATAAGCCTGCACAAAGTGGGAAACAGGGCAAGACCAAGGCAAGCAGGACATGGACCTGCCCTCCCTGACCCATTAGCCTGGCTGCCCCTGGCTCCCTAGACCCATTAATCCCTTTTGCCTGGTAGGTTTGTGCCCCCAACGTGGACTTATGAATGTGATGAAGACCTGGTACATTTCCTGTACGATCACATTGGGAAGGAGGATGAGAACTTGGGCAGTGTCAAACAGTATGTGGACAGCATCGATGTCTCATCCTATACGGTGGGTGAAAGGGACAAGGCTGCATCAGTCCTGCTCTGCCCTGGGGCTGGGGAGCATGGATGGTGCTTGGTGTGCTACGCTGGGCTGGGCTGTGTTGGAGGATGTGGGAGAGAAGCCTGGGGAGCGTTATGCAGCATATTGTGTAATGTGGCCCCTGGAGGGGCAGCGGTTTGAGAAGCAAATGCTAATGTTAGCTGCTAAGCTGATCTTAGGGAGGGTTTGATATTCTGTGCTCTGTGTGTGACACCAGAGCGCTTGGTCAGCCGCAGTGTCCTGTGCGCTCTGTGCTCCCTGCATCTACCCACAGCCCAGCAAAGGAATGGGCCAAGTTTGATGCCATCTGGCTCTAAGATTCATGAGGAGAGTAACCACTAAGTTAATCCTACCCCCATCTGATCTTCCTTTCATTCATTGCCCTCTTCCAGGAGGACTTCAATGTGTCATGCTTGACTGACAGCCATGCCGACACATACTGGGAGAGTGACGGGTCCCAGGGCCAGCACTGGGTGCGGCTCAACATGAAGAAAGGCACCATTGTCAAGTGAGGCACCTCTCCCCTGCATGCTGGCTTGTGGCTGGGGCGAGCCCTGCAGCCCCCGCTCTCTGCATGATTCCGACATGGCCCAAATTTGCCCTACGCTCCCTGCCCCTCAGCCCTTGCTTTAGCTCTGGGCTTGAAGGGAAAGGGTCTTTACATTGCCGCAGGTACCTGGGGATCCCAGCATCAGCTGCATATGCTTGATAATAAGCGTGACCAGGCAATGAGGGGGAGCAGCAATGGGTGTTCAGATGCAGTTACCTTCTCTTCATTTCGTGCTTCCCTCTGCAGGAAGCTCCTGCTGACAGTGGATACCACCGATGAGAACTTCATGCCCAAACGGGTCGCTGTGTATGGGGGCGAAGGGGACAATCTGAAGAAACTGAATGATGTTGGCATTGATGAGTGAGTGGATGGAGGCGGAGAGTGTAGTATGGCCCTTTGCAGGGGCTGGGAGTGCTGGACACCCTGACCCTAAGCAGTCTTGCCAGCACCAGCCTGGCTTAAGAGACCCAGAGCCTTGGGACAGGCATTTTCCATCTCTGAGCTGTGGGTTCACTCTGCCTATGGTAGCAGATGGCACAATCGTCAGGGCTTTTCTGATCCAATTGTGGGACCCATTGGGACCATGTCGCCTGGACCCGAGGCGCCAAAAGGTTCAGGCATTCAGCATAGGCCACGTTGTAAGCAATTGGGTCTGGGTTCCTGCTGTAGGCTCCCATTTCAAAAGATGCAAACCCTCTTCTCTTACAAGTGGCCAAGTGGATTTTGGCAGGATGGGTGAGGGAACAGCTCTGCAGCCCTCGTCTGTGCTGTGTTTGCAGGAGTTACATTGGGGATGTATGCGTCCTTGAAGACATGACGACACACCTGCCTGTCATCGAGATCCGGATTGTGGAGTGCAGAGGTAGGGCTGGGTGTTATGGCCACATCCGTAATGCACCTGTAAGATATTGTACATTAAGAATTTATTCCTGTGGCTTGTACTACTTGGCCCTGCGGGCTGTTTCAGATGAGATGCAGAAAGCCATGGGAAACTCCAGGGGGACCTGGAGGTTTGCAAGCTCTCAGCTTTCATCCTATCTTTCTCTGCCTTCCATTACTTTTTTTTTTCTTCTGTAAATGCCCTGCTGCTTCTTCACAGAGGTATTTCAGGCTCTCAGTGCCCAGCCCCAGAGATGGTGGAGCTTGTCACATTCCTAGTGTTTTCACTTACAGACCTCCAAGGCTGGAAGCCTTGGTTTCTCATGGTCTTGGTGTATATCGTCCATGGTCTTCCTTGGCAGATGATGGGATTGATGTTCGCCTCCGAGGCATCAAAATCAAATCCTCCCGACAGAGGGACTTGGGGCTCAGTGCTGACATGTTCCAACTGCCCAATTTAGTGCGCTACCCTCGCCTAGAAGGGACAGACCCTGACCTGCTGTACCGAAGGGCTGTGCTCATTCAAAGGTACTGTATGGAGGGGGGGGGCAGACAAAGTGGGGTGTTGTTGCCTGCAGGGATTGCTGCTGTCCCTAGCGTGGACATGGCTGGAAGCTGTAAATCTGTGTGACTCCCCTTGGGACAGGCATCCTGGACTCTGGAGAAAATAGCAGTAATTTCAGAACAAAGTGGGCTCTCTACAGTTTCAGAGGAATTTTTCAGCTCAAATTCACAGTATCTCGTGTGTTGCAAGCACAGCATATCTGTGCAGTGTATGGGGCAGGTTTATGCAGAGTCCCTTGCAAGGGGTGCAAGGTCCCTGCAGTGCCCAGGGAGTGGGAATTTAGTACGAAAGGCTCTGTGATGTAAAAGACCATGCTGGATTGGGTTTGGATCAGTTGGTACTTTTCTGCTTGTGTCTGGGGGTGTCTGGTCTGGAATAGGCTTGTGCAGATCCCTATTTCAATACCTTTTTCTTTGGCACTTAGGTTCATCAAGCTCCTGGACAGTGTCCTGCATCACTTGGTGCCGGCCTGGGACCACACTGTTGGCACATTCAGCAAACTCAAGGTAAGTGATTCCCCCTGTGTCTTGTGGGGCCTCAGTCTGGCAGGGTGGTTGCACTTGGGCTGTGGCAAGGGAGGCAGTCAGTGCTTGTTGCCTTTAAAGCAGCTCAAGGGAAATACCTGGCTGAGCTCAGTTCATTAAAGCTGTGAAAGGTGATACTGTTTAGAGGCTAGTTTCCTGCTAAAATGGTGATGTAGAAACGCGTAGCTACAGGGTTACAAGTAGAATTGAACCAGAGCACTTCATCCTCAAAGGGACTTGGACCATAGCAGCACTTGTGAGCTGGACACACATCTTCTCCAAGATCTCAGCCCAGGACGCTCTGTTCCAGCACTTGCTGCCAGCAGCTTTGAGCTGGCTGTGTCCAAACAGCAAGGCTTTTACCAGTAACTTCTTTCTGGCTTTAATAAGCTTTTGGTTTCTGTCTTTCTCATAAGACTGAGTTAGTCCCTCCAGTAGTCTGCTTTCCTTACATCCTCTCCCAGAATACACGTGGCAAACATTGCTGGGGTAGCCCCATTCTGTATGTTTCCAGGCCTGGTGTCAGAAAGTGCTGTAATTCCTGTGCCCACTCAATGTAGGACCCAAAGCATTTGAGGGCTCTTGTTTGTTTAAAGGAGCTTGCTTTGATTACAAATAGGAGGGATAGTAAGACTGATGCTCTGGTTAGAGTGAGGATGAAGGAGAGTCCAGGCAACACTGGAGTGTGAGCATCAGATGACGACTGGTGGAGAGAGAACTGGGCTTGGTATCTCCCTTAAGACAGAAAGCAAAATCTGTCAGAGACAGAGGTGATGCAAATATTATCAAGGAGATTGTGTCTTGTATGTGGAAGGCAGTGGCCGTGGGAAGGGGAGAGACCTGGCGGTTCAGTGGCTTCAGTAGGAAGTAGGTGACACATTTTGGACACAGAGCACTTCTGACATTTTGGACATACCTGTTGGCAGCATATCAAGCAGTTCTTGCTGCTGTCCAAGAGGCGCACAGCTCTCATTACCCAGTGTCTGAAGGACTCGGAGACCAGCAAGCCCAATTTCATGCCGCGGCTCTATATTAACCGACGCCTGGCTATGGAGCACCGAGACAATCCCGCCCTGGACCCCAGCTGCAAGAATGCTGTCTTCACCCAGGTACTGTCCCTCCTGGAAGGGTCCCCACTGCTCTGGGGAGACAGGGGCATCCCAAAACCAAAATGAACCACTTAGAGGTGGGTGGAAGGGACAACTTGGAGCTGGAGATACCTGGAGTCCTCAAGGCCTCTTCACATGACTCATAGGCTCTACGGTTACATGTGCCGATGATCCCATATCCAGGAATAACATCTAGGAGGGATTTGGGATCTCTGAGTTGAAGTCTCTATCCTGGATGCTCTCTGTGGTATGTTGCTAATGCAGAGCATAACAATCTCGTTACGCCAAAAGGGCAGCAAAGAATTCTTGTGTGACAGCGATAATGCAGCTGCATACAGTCCTGTATTGTGGTTTTACAGCAATGCTGATATTCCTGTCATCGTTCTCCCACTACCTCCAAAAGATCTATTGCTCTATGTGTGCGCAAACAGCCCAGACTGCTGTGAGATTTAATATGTGTTCAGTATACCACTGAGGCCAGAAAGCTTCATACAGTGGTTAGCACTGTAATTTATGTTCCCTTTGCAAAAATGAAAGGCTCCTAGACCATTTAGAGATCAGCTTCAGTCAGTATTTAAAGGTTTGGGGCAAACCAGATTTCTTCCAATTTCCTGCCTTCACCTGGCACCAGTTCCCCTGGAGAGGGGATACCAGCCTTGACCTTATCTGCTTGTTGCAGGTGTATGAAGGCTTGAAACCCTCAGACAAGTTTGAAAAGCCTCTAGATTATAGGTAAGTGGTGTCTGGGGGAGGGAGGGGATTGTGCAGTGCTGGGAGCTATGTCCTCTTTCACAGCAGGGTGTTTGGGAATCCTGCATGTCTCCTGTGCTCTGGAGAGGGTTTTCTAGGGCAGGAGCCAGCTCAACCATGGGATCAGGGCCTGTTCCCAGGGTGTCACCTCCCTACTGAGGATGCAGCTGTCTCTGGAGATTGAGATCGTGTCCTGTCCTAAGCTCAGGCTGGTCCACCCTAATCCCCTGGTGTCCCTGCTGTACCTGCTGCCTTTCCAGCATCATCTTCGCCTTGAGCAGCACCTCAGGCAATGCCTGGTTCTCCACAGGTGGCCGTTGCGTTATGACCAGTGGTGGGAGTGCAAATTCATCGCAGAGGGCATCATTGACCAAGGTAGGGGCTGTGTGAGGCAAGGGCTCCTCTGGGGCAGAGTTGGGAGTTGATGAGGTGACTCTGTTGCTGTAGGCGTTCTCATACGCTCCCAGCGTTACTGCCCATGGAGGAGAGAGGGAAGGCAGGTTGCCTTGTCCTGCCACCCCCGGCCATGTCCTGGATAAGGAGCGCTGCTTGCTGGGATGGGGACCAGATCTCCATTAGTCAATAACAGCAGCTTTGACAGTGCCAATGCTCCCTCTGGCTGTCCTCCACAGGCCAGGCAGTGATGTTATTTCTCCTGTCTTATTTCCTCCAGTGCCATAGGGCTTTGACAAGAGCCTTCAGCTCAGGCCTGGGCCAGGTTGGACCAGAATTCCTCATCTTTGCTCCATACCACTGAGGGTCAGCACGTGGGGAATTCACGTCACTAAAAATGTCCTTCTTTTGGGGTTGCAGGTGGAGGTTTTCGGGACAGCCTGGCGGACATGTCAGAGGAGTTGTGTCCCAGCTCAGCAGACACCCCCGTGCCTCTGCCCTTCTTTGTGCGCACATCCAACCAGGTGCCGTGGGTTGGGGTATTTGGGGCAGATCTCTCTGTGCCTGGCAATGCAGTGCTGTCCCTGTCCCCCTGCATGCCAGGGAGGTACCTACTTTCACTGGTCCTAAGCTTTTCCTCGTGAAGGGTTGGGTAGATTGCTTTGTGGTATCTCCTTTTAGGATATGCTGGCAAGTGCCTGGATGCTTGTCTCTCACTAAGAATATTGCCAAGGATGCGGGATTTAAGCCCACTTCTGTTGTGAGAAGCGCCCAGAGGCACTGGAGGAACTCAGTTTGTGGTGCTTCATGCTGCGCGGAGATTGTGACTTGGAGTTTTGCCTCCCCTGTAGGGTAATGGCACTGGAGAAGCCAGGGACATGTATGTCCCCAACCCCTCCTGCAAGGACTTCCCCAAGTACGAGTGGATTGGGCAGATCATGGGAGCAGCTCTGAGGGGCAAGGAGTTTCTGGTAAGCTTTCAACCCCGTGCCTGTATGGAGGTTTGTTGTAAAGGGAGTTGTTAGGCCTCTTCTGCAGCCTGTCTGACAGGAACATGGGAGGGCTGTGCAATCACACACTGGGACAAAAGGTGTTTGGCAGGTTTTGGGGCCAAGGGGTTAGGAGAGCTCACAGCCTGAGTTTTGGGAGATGCTGCTAGGAGCTTGGGAGAGTGTGTCTGGTCTCTGCTTGGCTATGATGAGCTCTGCATGTGGACAGGGACAGCAGGGAAGCTCCTTTGTGTCGGCACTGTTGAGCCCTATCTCTACCTTTGGGGATGTCTTCTTTCACACAGACTCAGCAAAATCCCTGTTTTCCTTCAGGTCCTGGCTCTTCCTGGCTTCGTATGGAAACAATTAACGGGGGAGGAGGTCAGCTGGAGCAAAGACTTCCCTGCTGTGGACTCCGTGCTGGTGAGAGGGACTGGGAGGCTGTGCCTATCCTATCCCTTGTGGCACTCAGCAAGGTGGTGATTTGTGTCCCTGTCCTCATGTTGTACTTGCTTCCTCCTGTGATGTGTCAAAGAAACATGCACAAAAAGGGCACTCTTAGCATTTAATGCATTCTATAGCTACTATAGAGATGTAGCCATGCTGACTACTGCTTCAAGCATGCATTGGCCCAGGGTCTGCTAAACAGCTCCATCCCATGCTGTGCTGCTGTCGCAGTCACTCCAGCCCTTGTTTGGGAAGGGAGGAGATGAGATCTCGGGCACACCACTGCCCACTGGGCAGCTCTCTAACAAGCACTCATCTGGGGCCCGGACAGGTGAAGCTCCTGGAGGTGATGGAAGTCATGGACAAAGACACCTTTGAGTTCAAATTTGGGAATGAGCTGACATACACGACGGTGTTGAGTGACCAGCGCATGGTGGAGCTGATCCCCAATGGCAGCAGCACTGTGGTGCGCTATGAGGACCGCAAGGAGTTCATCCGCCTGGTACAGAAGGCTCGGCTGGAGGAGAGCAAGGAGCAGGTAACGTTGTCCCATAGCATCAGTGGTCACTGAGTTTCCAGAGACATAACCCCCCTGTCTGTTTCTGGTAAATTGCATCGTGGTTAGCATTCCTGTGCTCATTAGTGCCATAGTAGGCAGTCCTTGTTGGTGAGGTCCTGGAGCCCATGGAGTTGTTGAGAAGCAAAGTGGCTTGTAGTAGCATGGGAGACATGCGGTTTTATTCCCAGCTCTGACATGAACTTCCTGAATGAACCAGGATGCATCTCTGGGATCCTGTTCCCTTCTTCAGGTTCTTTGGAGCGTTTCATGAGCAGTCACATGGCTTGCGTCCAGTTGAGTCCCTAGGCTCAACCACAAACTAGGGAAATGGGCAAGACATGCTGCTTACCTGCCCTGTCTCCTTTTCAGATCATGGCCATGCAGGCTGGGCTGCTGAAGGTGGTGCCCCAAGCTGTTCTTGACCTCCTCACCTGGCAGGAGCTGGAAAAAAAAGTCTGTGGAGACCCTGAAGTCACAGTTGATGCCCTGAAGAAGCTCAGTAAGTGAAGGGCTCTGCTGAAAACTCTTTCTGTGAAAACAAAGCTGTCTTCTTTCTGTGCTAGGACAAGGAGAGGTGTGGGAGGCCGATATTAGCCTTTATTACAGTGAGAATGTGGGCCTATATACTTCCTGCCGTTAGTTGGGTGCTGATGGGAGCAGGGGTGCCCCTCATCTCCATGCTGGGCCTCAGAGCAGAGGCTGGGGCATCCCTAGGCTGCCAGTATCTGAGCCTTTGTGGAGCTGAGTTGTGGATCTGCATGTGCTTTCTGGGAGAGGCCTGACTGCACGTGTCCCTTGCACCTTAGGTCTACGTGCTCACACCCTGCAGGCACTGAGAGGTTTCTTTCTGCGCTGGCAGAGAACCCTCGGGTGAGCAAGGGAGGCCCTGCTCTAATTTACCCAGGAGGAGCTTGGATCTCTAATAAACTCCTTTTCTGTATCCTTTCTGCCAGCCCGGTTTGAGGACTTTGAGCCATTGGACACCCGTGTTCAGTACTTCTGGGAAGCACTCAACAACTTCACCAATGGTGAGTGATTTGCTTTGTCCCTGCATATCTTGTGCCATGACAGCCCCTGCATGCTGGGGGCGGGGGGTGAAACCACCCTCATTGCTGCCTGGGGAGCAGATGGGAGGCAGGGAGAGCAAGGAGCTGCGCTGAAGGAACTACTTGCTAGCTCTGGGAAAACCTGGAAGTGGCTGTACTCCATCTCATGTCCCTTTAGGGTCTGCTGATGTCTTTACTTTTCCTTCACAGAGGATCGCAGCCGCTTCCTCAGATTTGTCACTGGCAGAAGCCGCCTTCCAGCACGGATCTACATCTATCCAGACAAGATGGGGTGAGTCTATTCTTCTGTAGACTTCAAGGCTGACAGATCCCACACCAAAGGGATGTGTGGTCTGGTCTCCCCTGCCTTGCTGGCCTGCTGGTTCTGACCACCTTGTCACCTTCTCCCCAAGCTCTGAGACAACAGATGCTTTGCCGGAGTCATCCACCTGCTCCAGCACCCTCTTCTTGCCCAACTACGCCACGTAAGTTTTGGTACTTCCCAGCGTCGGGGGTCTGTGTTGCCTGGGCTCTCCTCTTAACCTTGGTGCTGACCCATAGGGCCCCATCGCTTTGCCACACTTATGTCCCCCTGTGGCTGCTGTGATTCTCTCTGTGAGCAGCTGATGAAGCATAGCTTCCATCTCAGAAAGCATCTTGTCCTCTTGGCTGGCAAATGTAGCAATGGCAACTCCTCCTTGTCTTTTTTTTTCCCCCCCTGCTCCTGCCATCCCTAGAGCCAAGGTATGTGAAGAGAAGTTGCGCTATGCTGCCTATAACTGCGTGGCCATTGACACAGATATGAGTCCGTGGGAAGAGTGATGTTGCAGCCTGACGGAGCAGCATGGACAATCATTCGACAAAACCGTGCAGTGGGAAGAGCTCCCTTGTCCCCCCAGGATGTGTATATATAATAAACATATAGGCACGAAGCCTGGCTCCCAGCAGTGGTAACCAGCACCTCTTTGGACATGGAGGTTTGGGTCTTCAGCAGGGTGGGAGCTAGCTTGGAGAGTAAGTGTGATTGCAATAATGAAACCCTGGCCCAGCCCGCATACATCAGAAAGGTCTGGTAGGCTTTTGTAATTAATTTCTTCTCCACGCATCCACAACTCTCGCTCCTCCGAAGCTGCACTCTGCTTGCTCCAAACAGAAGTGGGGTAGGGCCATGAAGCCACACAGCAGGTTACAGCACAGGACAGAGAACTGTGAGCTGCTGCTGAGACCACAGGGATGCTCAGAGATGCTCAGCGTGTCCTAGGCTGAGTGTCCTGACCACATTGCCTTGCCTTGTTCCTGCTCTCACCTGAGGTCATGGAAATGAGATCTAGGTTTAAGAAGAAATGGGGCAGGCTGGTGGCAGGTGCTGCAGGGGTGCCTCTGGCCACCAGGTGTCACGACAGACCTGCACAGCAAGACTGTGGGTGCTGTCAGGAAAGGGCTCCCATGCTTTTACATCACACAAAATCCCAGTTCCTGTGACCACCTGTGGTTCCATGCACCCCTTGCACAGCAGCGGCTGCTGGGGAATCTGCTCCCCTACAGGAGGTGGGAACTGTCTGCTTCCCTCCTGCTCTGTAACCTTCAGTTCTGCATCCGGCGTGCTGGTGGCCTAGCAGCTGTGCTCCCAGGTTCTTTGAGCCTCCAGTTTCCCCTAAAAGCCAGTATTACAACTAATCTGTTCTAGTTCTCATAGAGATGTGCAGGCAGGGCCAAGCTCTTCTCCCAGACAGCAGGGGTTAGAGCAGTAGCAGGCACAGCAGCACCAGGCTCTGCTCCCCTCTGCTGTGGAGAGGTGGGTGCGCCTTAAGCAGATGGACACGCAGTGTGTGAGTGAGGAGAGGGCAACAAAAGCTTCGCAACTTCAAGACCGTTGATTTTTCCTGACCCTGGGCAGGGCTAGTCATTGCCTAGCACTGTAAGCTGCCAGACGTCGGTCCACTTTTATATCCCCAGCTCCATCTTCAGCCTGTGAGGTCTGTTGGACCACCACTACTAAGAGCCACTGAGTCACAGGGGCTCCACTGGGGCTAATGCTGTGAGTTAAGATTTAATCTGTCTTAACACTTCATGCCTTTTTCTCCTCTGTTGAAGGAGTCTGTCATCCAGAAATCACTTCCAGTTTTAAATGAAGTCCTTCCCTTCACCAGTTTCCTTTGAAACTGCTATATTCCCAGACCTGCTGCGGAGGGTTGTACTGAAAGGGATGTAGGACCAGGAGAGAGCACGTGCTGCCATCTCCCTTTGCGGTGAGTGGAAGGGAGTGTAGGGTGAGCAGGGAAGCTGTTTCTGGCAGCTCATGCCTGCAGCAGAGCCTTCCATGCTCAGCTGGGTGCATGTGAAGTCCCGTCTGCTGGAGGAGGATTTTTGTAAATCCTAGAGTTATCTCAGAATTGAGCTCTGTGGCTTTGTGGCTGATTCCAACCACCAGCGTGGACAGGAGCAGAGCCAGTGTCATACATTTCCGTGCTGGTGGCTGAGTCACTTCTTAGGGTGTCTGTTTTAAATGGGCATGAGCGAGCTGGTGAAAGGACTTTGATGTGTTGGCTTGGCCTCGGTCAGGAGTGTTGGTGAAGGAGTCTTCAGCATCAAGCTGGGATTTGGAATGAGCCGTCCTAGATCCTTTCTGGCCACTGGCATTTGGGTGCAATCGATCCGGCTTTTTCCATCCTTGCCCACTTGTCTCTAAGGGAGATCAGCAGGAGGCCACGTTATTTACTGAGCAGAACTGGAAGTAGCAAGAAAAACTTAGTCTGGTGCTTTATTACCAGGCAGGGGATGGTTGGCTCATGAGAGGCTCAGGATGGGATGGATAAAATGACCCTAGTCTTTGGTGGAGGCTGAGCTGATGTCACCTGTGGGAATGGGCAAGCTAAGAGCCAGCAGGGGCTGCTAGGGGTGACCAGCTGGGGCGGAACAGGCACCTCTGGCTGAGACATCTCCAACAGGTGACCACTGGCTCCACTGGCCTTGGTAGAAGCAACTGCAGCTGACAGAGGGTAACTGAGGTAATCATAGAGGTACCCAGAGCGGCTCAGGTTTCTCACTGAGGGATGAGATGTTTGGGCAGCTCTATTCCCTCTCGTCATCTGTGTACGCAGTCCCAGCCCCCCATGATGAGAGGAGAGCTGCTATACAGGGCAGTGCTGAGAGAAGAGCCTATCTGAAGCAGTGGGATCCTTCCTTAGAAGCATCATGGCATCTCCATCCCTGGAGAGCTCAAGATTTATCTTACAGCCCTGGGCAATGTGATCTAATTTCCAGTCTCACCCTGCTGGCTTTGGGTCTTGGTCCTCCCTACCCTGAAGCACTTGATGAACATAGAGTTATCGACTCCAGCTTTTCCCCCGTTTCCCACATTTCTTTACTCTTCTTCCCAGCAAGGTCTTTTAGGCCCTGACCTCTCACACTGTTGGGTTTATTTCCCGCCACTGAGGAAAGAATCCTGGCCAAGGGCTTGCTGGAGCTCTGGTGTGTGTACTGGAGCTCTGGGGAAAGGATCTAGCTGCTGCTGACAGGGATTTCTATTTAAAAAATACTTGCAGTAACAGGACCCTGGCCCTAGCAGGAAGGCTGCAGTTGGGAGCTCATCCAGGATGGTCTGGGTTTAACCCCTACAAGCATATTGAGAAAAACATTGTTTTACCATATATACTGTTGTTGTACTGTCCGTTTTGTGTTATGGCCATATACATGGTGGAGAATGGCAGCAGCTGCTGCTGTAGTGTTACACTGGGGTGTAGAGACTTGTGAAAGCCCTTCCAGTTGCAGGAAGAGCCCATTGCTGCAGCAAGGTCTCAGCTGAGATCATTTAGTGTGCGGTCAGAGGGTCTGGACAAACATGGCTGCTGAGTAAGGATGGCAAAATTACCAACAGATCATGCTGTTGAGTTTGCTGTGCAAAGGTGAGCTGGGAAGGGGGGGCTGGTAACCTGCCTGGATCTCTTCTGTGCAGTCCTCTGTCTCCTCTGTGGTGTTTTAAAGCCAGCCACAAACTGAATTTCTGCTGTGACAGCCCAGCAAATTGTGGAAAAGGTCAGCCTGGCTCAGCTCTGGCTAATCTCAGGGGCCCAAAGTAGGTGTTATTTCAGTGCTGGGTCACGTTCCTTCTCCTCTGATCTCTAAAGCTGTGGGTAGGAGCTGTCTTCTACCATGTTTGACGAGACACAAGTCAAGTGCTATTGCCCTGGACTCCTGCTGTGCTCCTGGGCACCAGGAACGAGAGGCTGCGCATCTCCACCCCATCACCCAGTCTCAAGTCAGTCAAGATCAGTTTTCAAGCCGGTGCCATCCTGAGGAAGGTGCTGGTGCCCCTGTGCCACTGAGAAGAGGAGGCATCCATGTGTGCCAGAGCTGCAGCTTTACAGGGTGGGTAGGGACGAGCTGGGGGAGGGACTGATGCTGTGTCGGCTCTGTGTAACCACTCGCTCTCTCCTGATGTCAGCTTGCTGAATTGTCATAGAATAGCTTCAGGTGATTAATAATGCACGTGTAGTTTAGCTGTTCTTGTTATTCCACTAATACCCTGGAGTATGACAAGCTATAAATAGTTTGACAGGATCTGTCTGCCCCTACCTCATGTAGGATCTAAAATAAAGTGAACAAACTAACTATTCCTGGCCTTCCTGATGATCTGTCTGGTCTGGCTGGGGCTCCTGCATCCTTCTGTTGGGTTAAACAGCAGCGGGGACTTCGCATCCTGAGAGGCGACTAGGGGGTGAAGCAGAAATTGGCCCCGTGATACCCTTCACACAAAAAGCAGTGTCATGGAGGTGACTCAGAGAAATAACTGGCTCAACCCTTTGCAGCAGCTCTGCAACCGGTTTTATAGGGTGACGTGGCTGCCGAGGGAGGGCACGGGACCATTCTGGCTGCAGTGGCCACAGTTAGGAGCAAGGCAGAAGTCTGCATTTCTTTCGCTCCATGGTTCAGGGCACTTTGCTCCTGGCGAGGCCGGTGCACGTCGCTGAGGTGCGGCATGGTCACGCCTGTTCAATAGATAAGGCTGCGGGGGTGACAGCCGTCAGACCTCTCTGCACCGTGCCTCTGCAGGCGGGGATGGAGCTGGACTCTGACCTGCCAGGAGAGCAGGCAGGTGCCGGAGGGCTGTGGGACCTTTGAGCTCTGCCAGCCTGGTTGCTTCCTGATCCCTAAACGCAGCAATTTGTGCTCGGCCTGGAGAAATTCAGGGCGCGTGGGGTGGAGCCGAGTTGCTCTCTGCCCCCGCCTCGCTGTGGTATGTGACAGGCCGGGATGGCGTGGGGTGATGCACTGCCTGCCTTCTGGGGTGGCTGGGTGCTGCTGGGTGCTGCGGCCTCAATCCTGCTGCTGTCACTGCTGGCTGGGATAAAGCTGCTTGCTCCTGGGCAGGGAAGCCCGTCACCCTCTCCAGCGGGTGCCCGGAGCCTCCCCCCGTGCCGCAAGCCTGCCGGGGGCAGGAATACGCCCCCCAGCCAGCCAGGAGCCGGCTCTCCCCTTAGCAGGATGCCCGCTCCCCTCTTTTCCCGATCCATGCTGGTGATGTAGCCCTGTGCCCTGACCCCCCAGCAGCCCCCTCTCTGCCCGTGG